TGTTAACCCGTTGGTTGAATTACGACTTTCTACCCGTTGCTTAACGACTGCGTGAACTTAACCTTCCTTTAACCAAATTAAATGCAAAAGTGTTAAAAAAAAGTTTACACACTTCCCAAGCAGAAAATCTTAGTGGCTTAGCTCGTCACAGCTAAGTTAAAACTTACGTCAGTACAAAGGTTTGGATCATGTTCTTGTCTAACGCATCAGTAATATTAGGAAATAAATACACTGGAACCCCTTTAATTTATAATACGGACAGCAAAGGACCAGCTGGGGCCCGTTTCTCGAAAGCCCCGGAAACCTTTCGGGCCCGAAAAGCCATTTTTAGTTAATCGGTATTTAAAGACAGAGAGGTGTATACGCCTGAAACTTCTTGTACGAAATGGAACCTCTGTTTAAATTAAGAATATGTGAATAAAACAGCTCTGCAATCATGAGGTTTGAGATTTTGCTACGACTTTCCGGGTGCGAAAACTTTTCGAGACCTTCGAGAAACGGGCCCCATGTACGTAATGTGGAGATGTCCGTATTATAGAGGTAGAGAATTCAACAATTCTGGTTTCTCTGGAACCAAGTGAGCTGTCCGTAAGATAGAGGCGCCCTTATAGAATTGTCCATAAAGAGAGGTTCGACTGTAGCAGTTATGGTAAAATCCCGGAAGTAGCGAAGGTCGTTACTTTTGGTTTTAGAAGCTTCTTGAATCCGGGTTATCCTGCTTACGGAGGGGACGTCACTTAGTCAAATCATTTCAGTGTGTCATGCTCGACACGAACTGTGCCGGATATTAAGGTGATTCCTTAGTATTGCATTACGCATCTCTACTGCGCGCGCAGATGAGCGCGTGCGCGTACAAAAGGTAAGAGATTTCCCTCACACTAAGCTCGATAGCGAACTAAATGCTCCTTTTCTCTTAAACGAGCACGGTGACCCCCACTTTTTATTTCATAATTTCAATGATAACAATATCCTCAATAACGGAGAAAAAAATTAGCAGAAATCTATGGCTACTTTTTTGGCAAATAAAATAAATACTACAGAGGGATACATAATGGGCCCAACAGTGCATGTCCAAATTATGTTTCGTCTAAAAGATAAAAACATGCAGGGTATTTGAAGACATTTTTTCTGGGACGTAGATGAGTAAACAATCAAAGAAGGTCAAATTCTGTGTGAGATAACATGCTGCATTGAAAAATAATCGAGCTTATTTGTTGCGCACGGAGATTACCAAAAGTTACCTAAATAACCGTATTTGTCAGCATTGTGGCGTGAAAACAAGCACGGTGACCCCCTCTTTTTCCTACGTTTTTAATATCTCCTTGTCCTGTAACAACAGCATACCAAGTTTCATCGGAAATCTATGGCGGG